CATTACAAGTCCAGAATTGTCAGTGCGTATGCAATATCATACTCTGCACATATGACCATATTAGATGCGTAGAGTATGTAAGTGCACACAATACGTACGAACCAAGCTATATATACGCGGCAAACACACGTGTGCATGTATTATTACGCTCGTCGAGCCCCGTAGTATGCATATAGCGCGCCGTGTCTGTGTGGACATGATTTCCATTTAGTTATAACTCGTATGTCCTGCTCGCCTAGCATGCGTTTGATCCCTCGTTATAACGACGATGCCAACGGGATGCAATACTACTAATGCTCTCTCTCTCTCTGTCTCTCCTCTTATTCTCTATGTATATAATACGCGTACAGCGTACACACAATTGCACACAGACGCTCTAGTGCATGTAATTGTGCCTACGTTTTAATTATATAGAGTGTAATGGAGCTCTCTCTGCTCTCTTCATCCGACCTCTGTACCAAAATTAATGCACACACACACGCTCGCATAGACACGCATCTGACCCGTCGCGTATCAGTTCTGTTCTTGCGAACGCCGGCGAATTTTTTCCCATTTATGATCCTCTCGTGTCTATACTGTTACGCAGTGCTCGTCGAGAGTTGCGCATTTTTCGTTTTGGAAGTCGATACCATCGACAGGCGAGAAAAGCTATGCAGTAAAATTTGACGCTCGGTGAAATGCGCGCAAAACTATTTTCACAAAAACTTCGTGCTTTTTCTAAAAATCTCGCAGTTTTCTTTATTTTCGCTTCGTTGATACGCGCGTGATAACAAGATGGTTCCTTCGCGCCCATCATTATCTCGGATTAATTTATTGTTACGCGTTCAAATCCTGTTGTCGAAAATATTAACTTTGTGTGCAAGCAGCCGCTTTTTCACCCAGAAACGCATTTCAAGTTGCCGTCTATTTTATGAGTATAGTAAAACAACGAGCGGGCCTGCCACGTTTACTACTTTTTGATCGTTTTACCTTCTCGCTTTACTTTGGCTCTTCTTTCCCTTTTTTTTATGCAACGGCTGTCGCTAGAAGATTTAGAATTGATCCGCCCTTCATCTTCTGCTTTCTGATATTTTTTTTTTTTAAAGTGATACTGCTGGAGTCTCGCCGCATCAGCCCAGTTTTGAAACAAAGAATCAATATCAAAAGTTGCGAGCAAACCGCATTGGCTTGACTTGAGATCAGTTGTTTTTCGTTTTACTTTGATTCTGAGACCATTTGGTGCAAAGGTTCAAAATTTTGTGGTTCGTTTTTGGCCAACGAAAAAGTTACTTGGACATAGAAGAGCCGTTGGAATTGGAAATTTAATAGCAAAAATTAACTAAGAAAGAGTTACATTTTTTCAGTATCGTGCTTCCACTTATACAATTATTTCTATTTTTCCACTTGCACATTTTGGAATATAGGTACTCGCCCTCTAGTGTCAGAAAGTAATATTATCGTATTCAAGTGGTTGAAAACTGGTCTAAATTTTTAGACACAGACAAATTGTCATTTTTAAATCACATTCAAAATGAGCTTAATGCTTGTATCATAATTGTAACAGAAAAATCGACAAAAACAAGCCAATTAATAGTCATTTATCTTAAAGCATTCTTAATAGTAATTTTTCAATAGGATTCCTTTTTATTTCACTCTGACATCGGTCCTTCTCTCTATAAAAACGGAGAACGAGTTGCATTTTCTTTGGCTCGCAGGGGAAAAATCCAAAATCGCGAATCGAAATAATTATCATACCAATTTTCCGCATGGCTTCGCGATTTTCTTAACAGTTTCTCCGCGAGCGAGAGAAAATAATAATAAAACTACATAAAAAGAGACGGAGAGAGCGAACGATAGAAAAAAAAGAGAGTACAACAACGATATTCCGGTCATTGCGCAGTGTGTGCGATTACATACGCGCGGGGCAACAAATTGCCGCACGCACCAATTGAAGCGATAACGCGCGCACATATACATTTATATCGCGCCACACACACGCGCGCAGCGCAGCGCAGTTCGCGCGAGAGAGCAGAATCGCACAGATGACAAAACAAAATGGTGCAACCGGTCGTGTAATATCGGTCGCGCGTGCAATTTTGCATACGCGTACGTAACCGTGTGACACAATGAAATTTTCCAATTAATCATAATTATCATCGTCGTCGTCGTCGTCGTCGCATGTCGTCGAACGATCAATTATGCACGCGATGTAATTCATATACGGGCATTATAATATGCACTTCTCTGTATAGCATGCGAATGTATAAATCGAGTATCGAACTTTTACGCGGGACTGTACTTTATAATATGTGTTCGGCGTATATAGACTGCTGACTCTCTCTCTCTCACTCACTCGGCGCACCGAAAGCAGCAGCAGCAGCTCATCGCTGGCGTCACCACAGCAGCACATATAGCTAGAAAACTCTCCCCTCGGGTGTCGGTGTCTGTTGTAGCACGCACACACATGCACACATTCGCGCGTGCTATATACAGAGCAGCAGCAGGGGGGTAAGAGAGAAGGAAGTTGTTGCCAAGCAACGACACCCTCTGGCTCTCGGAGCTCTCTCTCTCTCTCTCCCAACATGTATGTGCTGCTGCTGCTGCACAGACTCTCGACGGCTCGAGCTAGCTATGTATGCCGTAGAGTAGTACCTACGTATTCTCTCTCTATATAGGCGAATATCCCGCCCCGTTGCGTCTTGCCACCCCGTGCCAATCAAGTCGTCGGGAGAGAGAGAGAGCGAGCGCGCCAACGAAAAGCAAAAGCAAAAGCAAAAAAAAGGAAGAAGAAAGAAACTTTCCCCCCTCTGGCTCTCTTTTTCTCTCTCTGGTGGTACACACTCTCGTTTCGTTTGTGCATAGCATTTGATGCACGTATACGGCATATAGACACCGCGCGTAGTAGTAGTAGTAGTACGCTCTATTTGCCTATTTTCTACTTTGTGTCCTTGTCTTTTTTACCCTTTTTTTTTCTTTCTTTTCGCTCGCGATCGATCCGTCTGTGAGCGAGAGACACGCGAAGCTTTAAACTCTTCTCTCCAGCTCTCTGCGACCCGGATGAGCCTACACGTATTTATATTTATAAAATTATTATTAAGAGTCTCGGGGACGGATTACGCGACCCGCTCGGCGTGTGTACGTCGATGTATATATATAAATGGGATTTATCAGAATTCTCATACTTGATGAAGTGAAATTATAAACGAATTGACGTGCTTACTCCTTTCAAGTTTCGACGTATACGCAATAGGTCGCTGCTGCTGCATGATATATCTGTTACCTATAGACGATAGCTGCTGCTGCGGGCTTTTTCGAGGGCCCCAGCCCAATTCCACCATTGTGACCGTGAATCGGTTATTAAATTCGCCCTCTCTCTCTCTATCCCCGTTTTGTATAAAAGCTTAAAATCGCGCGTCCGACTCGCTGCTGCTGCTGCAGTGCCATGTATACGCCGTGTAATCCCACAGAGGTCGAGTCATGAAAACGATATATCCTATATATGTATTGCTGCTGCTGCTATCAGTTCTCGATGTGCGTATAGCGGTATAAGCCTTTGGCCCTTTTGGCCCGAGAGAGAGAAAGAGAGCCCCCGATCATCATCTCTCTCGTGTGTCCCGCGTGGCCTACGGGCGGCTTTGATCGTTTTCATTTAATTTCATCGTAGGTCTTTTATTCGAGCGCGCAATGCCAGCAACAATTGCTCTCTCTTTCTCGTTCTCTGTGCACCGAAATGGATTTACATTAGTGTAAAGCGAGGACGAGTTTCGAGTGGCAGTATATATACAAGCAGGGCGATGAAAGGACACGAGCGCATCAAAAACATCATAATCTTCCGCGCGCGCATTGTTGACAAAAATAAAAAAAAAAAAAATAGCTGACATACAGCTCGATGATCGTCGTCATCGTCGTGTCATTCTCAATATTACATGTACTCGTCGCAGCAGTAGCAGGTCTCGGGCAGAGAGAGAGAGAGTCAAAATAAATGCCCGCGTAACAATGGCGTTATTTTTTGGGCGTACGCCGTATTATATAAAGCAGTGCGACACGACACGCTGGATTATTATATTATATATGGTACGGAGACCTCATTTTTCAAGGATTAGGCATGTATACTCGCGCGCGGAGAGACGTTGCGAGGGGCTCGTCCCAAAATGACATTCGCTTTTAATGCCCTTTATGCGCGGGTAATGACTTTGCGTCTTTGGATCGATCCTTCGGGACGATCAAGTCGCGTTACGTGCAGCAGGTGGATTATGCCTTACAGGACACCTTTTCGTATCGAGTATACCCATATAAGTGCGACACGAATCACGAGAAGTCCTTTAAAAAAAATGTTGACTGTATATACTTTAAAGAAGATAATTATTCCATTAGATATACTTTCAACCTTTATCTTACTCTTTCAATTTATTTAACATTATATTCTTTCCTTTTTTTTCGCAACAACGTAATTCGCGAGCGTACAACACGTCTTCCGCGCTCGTCTCGCTCGAGAACTCGAACTTCTCTCTCTCTCTCGAAACCCAAAGGCGCGCGCAGGCTAATTCCTTCATCTAATATAGCATTATACACAGCTCGCGCCCGAAGGCAGGTACACTATATATACATTATATACACAGACCGAAACACGTCTCAGGCTCTAGCTCTCTCTCTCTCTCTTGAGAGGTCTCGCGCGCGCGCGAGCGCAGGGGCGAAAATCGCGTCAGAGATTAGCCCCTCAAGTTCGTCTGCGTGCGTCATAAATAGGAAGGTGCGCAATGTGTTCGCAACGTCTCTCTCTTATGTACCTTTGCCAGGGCGTTGTTCACAATGAGAATCAATGTTTTTTTTCGACGTGCGCGCACACACACACATTACATACATTATACTTTCAGGCGCGCGCGCGCGAGCTAGCTAGCTAGCTGCTAGCTATTTCTTTCATTCTTTTTTTCTTCTTCTTTCTGTATACATACATACATACTGCTACCTCTATGTTATTTGCCGTATTTGTTTCATTTCGCTTTTTTTCTTCTTCTTTACAGTTCCGAGCCCTAATGGAGCCGATACGTGCTGCAGCAAACCTGGTAAGTGATGGATACCTGCCAAGTATCGACTCTATAAAAAGTATACGACGCGTTCCTATATATGGTGCCACTATACTTTCACCCCTCTCCCCCTTTCTTTATTTTTCCCTTTCGCATTATGGATCTCGTTGCGCGTCGTGTGCTCGCTCGATAACACGTGCGTCCCGAGATCGAGGCGAATCATCGCTAACGTCATCGCAATTTTTCTCTTACTTTTACAGGTAAAAAAGGCAAATGCGAAGATTACGACGACGAAGGATGGGACCCTTTGAAAGAAATAAATTCGGCGCCAAGAGTGCCGAAAATTTATTACGGCTCGAGAACTCACAAACAGATCGAGCAAGTGATAAGGGAGTTCAAGAAAACTTGCTACCACGACAAGCGGTAAGAGATAGCCGAATCCTTGCAGCACATGCATCGATGGCGATTTTCATTACTTTTTATATATTTTTCTGCCGCAGAATGACGATACTGAGCAGCCGCGAGCACACGTGCATCCATCACAAAGTCGAGGGTCTCAGCAAGACGGCGCTGTGCAACGAGCTGCGCGATCCGCTGAAGAACAAGAAGGGCTGTCCCTTCTACAACGAGGGTAACAAGGGCGCGCTGTCGAGCCACGACAGACTCGCGGCCGTGGGTCTGGAAACGCCCTGGGACATCGAGGATATCGTCGCCGTCGGCAAGCAGGCCAACGCCTGTCCCTACTTCGGGGCGCGCAATCTCATGGGCGACGCCAGCATCATTTTCTGCCCTTACAATTACCTCATCGATCCCTCGATTCGCGAGAGCGTGAGTATATAAATAATATTTTTCTTCGACAATGTATATAACGTTTTTGTTTTCTTTTTCTTTGGGGTTGCGCAGATGGGCATCGATCTGACGAACGAGATAGTGATCGTCGACGAGGCGCACAACATCGAGAGCATCTGCAGGGACGCAGGGAGCGCGGAGTTTCGCGAGGACGCGCTGCTCGAGGCCGCCGAGGACTGCCACCTTCTCTTCAATCTCACGAAAAACTCCTACTACGACGTCATAAACAAGTACCTGCTGAAGCTACACGAGGTCATCAACGACGTCTACGTGCCGGAGTCGAGCACCAAGTACGGCGAGACCCACAGCGACTTCTGGAAGGGCAACGAGCTCTGGACCAAGTTGACCGCGAACGGCCTGGGCGAGGACAATTACTCGGCGTTCAAAGTCGCCTGCCGCACCGCCATCAACGAGTACAATCAGGCGAAGGAAGACATAGCGAACGAAGTCGATCGGGAGGACGACGACGACGACGGTAGGAGTAAGAAAAATGAAAAGAGGAGGAAGAAGCTCAAAGATCCGACCACCATATCGCACATCACGAAAAATTTGTTGGTTCTGATGGAGATGGCTTTGATGTGCGTGAAAGATGCCGAGTTCACTCAAGACTATCGATGCGTCATCAGTAAGGCTTATCACCAGGACGTCAAAACCAAGGTATATACCGAAAAATTCCCTTCTAATGAGTGTACAAATTATTTTTAATAGGTGAAATAATATCGCGATTTTGCTTTTACAGCCGGCGAAAAGCGGCGAGTGGGTCGAGACTCGCGGCGAGGTCAAGAAACCTCAATTCTTGCGCACCCTCAAATTCTTGTGCATGAACCCGGCCATCATCTTCCGCGGCATGGCCCGCAATACGAGGAGCGTCATCTTGGCCTCGGGCACGCTGTCGCCCACCACGACCTTCGAGGGCGAGCTCGGCCTGACCTTCGCCCATCAGCTGCACGCCAATCACGTGATAACCAAGGACCAGGTGTACGTACGGCCCATCGGCCGCGGCCCCAACGGCGTCAGTCTCAGAGCCGTCTACGCCAACGTGGGCACGTTCGATTTCAAGGTACGCCGACGCTTCGTGGCCTAATCCGTGCAGCGAAGATAAAGCTTTCGCGCAAAAGTTATACTTCCTCCTTTTGCAGGACGAGCTGGGCTCGCTGCTGGTGCAAGTGTGCGAGACCGTGCCGCACGGCGTTCTGTGCTTCTTCTCGTCCTACGCCATGATGACGGGCCAGCTGGAGCGCTGGCAGGAGACCGGCGTCTGGGGCAGACTTGAGGCGCACAAGTGCATCGTCCAGGAGCCGAGATACAGCGGCGACCTCGACGCAATGATGCGCGAGTATCGCGACGCGATACGCGACACCGCCGCGGGCAGATCGCAAGCCACCGGTCGGGACGGCGCCCTCATGTTCGCCGTTTTTCGCGGCAAAGTCGCCGAGGGCATCGACTTTAGCGACAACGAGGCGCGATGCGTAATCACGGTTAGTTCGAGATCGCAGCGTTGATATTTTCAGGATATATCTTCTTATTTTTCTTTTTTTTTTTGCATACATGCCTCTAGGTCGGCATACCGTATGCTGTGAGGACCGAACCTAGTGTCAAAATGAAAATGGAGTATAACGATCAACCGATGAACAAAGCACGTAAATTGCTCAGCGGGAGCGAATGGTACAACGTGCAAGCTTACAGGGCCTTGAATCAAGCGCTTGGAAGATGTATTCGACATCGCAACGATTGGGGCGCGATATTGCTCGTCGACGAGAGGTTCGTTTTTTAAGTTTTGTATATTCGAAGTCATTCGTACAACAATAAAAATGGAACACAATATTTCAGATTCCTCTGGGCTAATACTATGACCTATTTACCAAAATGGGTCAGAGAGATGGTAGGGCTTGCAACATAATTAAATCATTTTTTTCATACGTTTTAAACGATCGATACATTTTTTTTTTTTTTTTTTGTAGAAACGAGATAATAATCAATTCAACTTGAAGGACGATTTAAAGAAGTTTGTCAATGAACGAAAGGCTCACGATGATAAGACGAAAAGACTGAGCAATTGATGGAATATTGTTTTAAACAGTATTTTTTGATGTTACAACTGTGTTTGTGTCATCGTTTCAGATTTGAAGTTCCGTTTTCTGTTAAATGTATAAGTGTTTTTACTTTTGTAAAAAAAAATTAAAAATTTTTCCGAAGAATGTTTACTTGTTCACAAAGTATTACTATAAAGTAGTTTTAGTATTAGTGTTAGGATTCAGACTCGAAGTTACTTGAACATAATTGCGTGTTCAAATAATTTTTAATTCATTTCAAATACATTCCTCAAAAATTTTAAATTCTCACAATTTGATCTATAAGTTATTCAACTAAGTGAACTGTTTTTCAAACTAACATAGTTAAAAACCTAAAAAATTGAGCCATGACCATGTTATGACAATCAATTAATTTTCTAAGACTATTTTTATTTTATTCTATTAATTTATTACTTTTTTCACACTCTCGCGTAATTAAGCTTGTAGTTTTACTTATTTTACATATATGTATTGCCTGTTTTCTTTGTTCAACTATTTTTTCAATGATGTTCGTTCTTGATTTGTTACATTTGTAAAAAATCTCAAAAGATATTTGTTTTAATGTTTTTCGCAATTATAAGTATTTGATTATCAGCCGAAGTGAATTTTCATTTTTACAACTTTCTTGGACTTATGTCTACCATTATTTAACACAATATAGTCTAAAAAAAATCACGATTTATTTATTCCACGTTGACAATATTTGCGTCGTATTTTCATATAAGTTTAGATTTAAAAAATGAATCAATCATTTTTCGTTTATTAGTTTTAACGTTGCACCGCACAAAGTTTAAACTGTAAATATGATCAATCATCCTAAAGTAAATCATGCTTTACCATAGCCAGAGTAGAATAGATTTCTACGTAACCACTGAATGTCAACTTATTCTCGAACTGCAATGATGAGGAAGTTTATAAATTTTCTTGATTAAATGAATTTTTTATGGTCGCTCATCTATATATTAAATATTTTTTCATGAGCCCGTTTTCATTACACGTAATTAATTTATCTTTTCACTAAATAACTTACCGGTGCATGATAATTTTAATTTTTGATAAACACGCGTTCGCAACATTAGTACGTAGAAACGACGATTGGTGCGCTGTCTCTTGTGTTAACCTGTCGTCTGTAATTGTACTGTACTTACACGATGCAGTGAACACATTTTGAACGGTTTCTGTATAAGTGTTTTCAACACGTGCTTTGCGTCAAGTTTCAGTGATATCCTAAAGATTTGTGTTGATATATTTTTTTCAAAATTTTTCAAAATACGCAAATACTAAAATGGCTGAAGAAATGAAAAACTTGTTTGATGATTTGTCTACATTTTTAGATATAACATCTAGAATAGATTTAAAATTGAATGCTGTCAGTTTTCTGTTAGGTATGTAGTTTTAATAAAATAAATGATGCAGTTAATTTAGCATCAACCAATAATTCTTAATTATTGTTCATAGGTATGTCAGGAGAAGGAAGTAATCGTAGTTTACTTCTTGAATTTCCAAACATCATTAGGCAGATGATAATTTTGGTTAATGATCCTGTGAAACAATTAGCAAAAGATGTTCTCAGTACATTGATTAACTTTAGTGGTGATAAAGAAGGAGCTAGTGTTTTACTCTTAATTTCAGAATCTTCCAAATCAAATTCTGATGATATTTCAAACGACAATTTGATTTATCTATGTATGAAGTGAGTAATATCAACTATTAATCAAATACAAATGCAAATAATTATATGCAATATTTTATTTACAGACATATGACCAATCGAGACCCAGAACTAGCTGATTATTGTACTTTAATTTTGTCAAATATTACACGACCAAAAGGATTTGAAGAAAGAGTACTTACATTAGTAGAAAAGAGTCCATTTGACTGGAGTTCATTTTTGGATGTATTTGAAAAGGAACGTGACTCTAAACCCAAATTTTACTATTTAGGACCAATTTTTAGTAATTTAAGTCGTTCAAAAAAAATGAGAAAGTAAGAAAATAACTATGCATGTTATATTAATAATAATTCATACATTTATCATTGAATACATCAATATAATCATCATTATAAATTTTTAGATTTTTGATGGGCGACGAAGAAAATGCACCAATTGTAAAACTTTTGTCTTGCATTAGATTTGCTAAGAACAATATTCTAAGAGGAGGAACTATTGGAACAATAAAGAATTGTTGTTTTGATGAGGAATATCATGAGCGGCTGTTAGGTTCTGAAGTAGATATTCTTCCTTACTTAATGATGCCTCTAATGGGTCCAGATCAGTTTACCGATGAAGAAAATGATAAATTACCAATAGATTTACAGTATTTGCCAGAAACTCAGGAGAGAGAACAAGATCCAGACTTAAGGTTTGCTTTTGCTTAAAAGTATGAAAAATTCATGAAAATATATGTTCAAAAATAAATTGTATTATTTTTCAGAGTTATGCTATTAGAATCTTTGCTGTGGCTGTGCTGTGGCAAGTTTGGAAGGGAATTTCTCAGAGAGAATAATATTTACATTATTCTTAGAGAATATCATAAGTGGGAAAAAGATGGACTTGCTTTGTTGCGTTGTGAAAATATTGTAGACATTTTGATCAAGTAAGATATTTCTCGTACAGAACAAAAAACTTGTCATCAATGTATCAATGTATATAAAAAATTATTTTCATTTTCAGAACTGAAGAAGAGATAGGAATAAATAGTTATAAAGAAGTTGATGTTCCTGAAGAATATAAAGAAAAGTTTGAAAAATTTGATAAAGAATTTATCGAAGAGAACACTGAAGAAGCCACCAATGAAATGAGCGCATTAAAGTTGTAAAGGTGTTTTAAGTGTTTTAGTGTTTTGTACCATATTTTGTGTAAATAATTATGTTTGATAATTTTACAAAAAATATTAAATTTGTTTAATTACTACTCAAGCTTATTATTTGACTCATCAAATTGACTCTCAATAGGTGACAAGTGGACCTCATATAAAATGTATTATTCAACACGAAGCGATTCAGGGCCATTTTTATATTTAAAATTTGAGTTTACTCCAAACGGCATCTTTTGCACGGTGGTCAGGGATTACGACGATTTATCAGCTGTTGTAGCGGCTGCCGTAAAATGAAATTTAACTATCTATTCATACAGAAAAGCTTCATTTTTTTCAAACTGATATAATTTATTATAATTCAAGTTGAACAAATTGTGTATTATAAATCACGGTCTTCTGTAAAATGTATTATTCAAGAACAATCTCTTTAAAGCTTTGCTCCAACATTAGTGTAGCTTATCAGGTACAAGGCAGTTTTTTATGTATAAAAATATACTTATTGATCGATATTTATACGTATAGGCATTGCGATAAGTTTGTATATCGCGTTAGTATCATAATAGTTTAAAAATCATAGCATAATTATACATTCAGTCATTCACGAACAAAAATAATTGAAGTTTAAGTGCACTCTATGCTAATACTTGATATACGAACGATGATTTTATAGAATCTCAAGGCAAGTAGCCCAAACCAGCCTCCAGACTGACAGAACTCCTCAAGCTCGACGTGCTGCTGGCACGTCGACCCAACAACTTGTTGCTCGGCGGCTCGTTGAAGACCGCGGCGATCTCAGCGCTCTTCTTGATCGACAGGGCCTCGTGGTGATGGCGATCGGCTGTGACGCTCCTGCTGTGCTTCTTCGAGTCGCCGCCTCCACCGCCACCACCTCGATGTTTGCCGCCGCCCGTCGCCGAGTGTTGATGCTGATGATCGCCACCCACGTAAATGAGCCGACCCTGGGGATCGCGCGCGCTCACCACGAGGACCTTCTCGCTGCCCGAGGTCGAGGAGCAGCGCGACGAGCGACGTCGACGATTATTACCAGCACGCGATGACGAGTTTTCTTGGTCGCGGCTCTTGGTGCGACGATAAGGCGAGAACAGGTCGTAATCGAGCGCCAGATTGTCGGAACTGCTTCGTACCTGTTTGGAATTTAGATCAATTATGAAATGAATATGACTCCTGCGCCGCATCTCTCAACTCACCTTCAGATACTCCAAACTCTTGGACGTGGTCAAATTCTTGCTGTGCCTCCTGCTCTTCTTCTCGCGCTCGGTGCTGCCGTGTCTGCTCAGCGTGCTCTCCGCGGGCACGATTCCCTTCTGCCTCAGCTGCTCCAGGATACTCGGCTGGTGGTGACCACGATGATTATTATGCTGATGATGATGCTGATGACTGTTGCTGGGCATCCGGGCGCAGTAGCACTTGTAGCTCTCGGAGCAGCTGTCGGTGTCGCAGGCGCAGGGCGCGGCGAGATCCGCGAGGCGACGATCGACGGCCAGTCTCAAATGGGAGGACGGTGGCGACGGCGGAGTCATGGCTCGGCGCGGCAGCGAGCAGTAACACTTGTCGGCCGAGATGCAGGTGCACGACTCGGAATTGTAGCTGCACTCGCTGCAGCTCACGTAGCCGCTGCTGCTGCGATTGGCCGTGGTCAAACCGCCTCCACCACCGTTGCGTCCGTTTGGTCGTCGGCCCGTGTCGCTGTCTTCCGAGGTGGTGTGCTGGCCGATCGCTCGGCTGCTCTTGTTTCTCGATCTCTTGTTCTTGTTGTTGCCGCCGCCGACGATCTTGCTGGACAGGACGCGGCTGGGGTTGATCGCGTTGCTCTTGTGTCGATGATGATGATGATTGCGCTCGCAGGAGGACGCGGTGCTGCCCGCGAAGCTGCCGCCGCCGCGCTCGCCACCGAGCTTGCGCGCCGGATACAGGACCGAGGTGAACTCGGTCGGGGCGCTGCTGCTGCTGCGCAGCCGTGACACCGATCGCTTGATGGCGCGCCTGATCAGGCAGGCCTTGCCACCGGCGCCGCTGCGACGGCTCGATCGACGCCGCTGGGGACGACGTCGGCGACGCATTATGCTGGCCGAGCGCTGGTACAGCTCGTCCTGGGTCAGGGTGGCCGCGAGTTTCAGCAGGAACTCCTTGTAGAGCGGCTTGAGGTCGTTGAACGACATGCCTTCCGGATCTGAAAGACCAAAAATATTAATCAGTTAGTCGTTATCGTAGTCTTCGATTTTTAAAGGATATCCGATCGTTCACCGATTATCGTCGCTAAAATATCGTCGACGCTGGTCAGTCCCTCCTGATTGCGAAACTCGTCGAAGAGCTCGGTGAAGCCCAGCGGCGTGCCCGAGCCACCGCCCTCGAGGCCGTCCCTGTTGCCGCGCACGCTTCCGGGTTTGAGGAAGCTTCCTCGCCTCGGCAGCTCCACTCTGGTCATCAGGTCGCCCTTGTCCACGAGGATCTCGGCGTCGCTCTGGGATCGTTTGAGCAGTGCTTTGGTCGTGGCGGACGACGACGACGACGAGACGACGAGGTCCGTCGTTCGACCCGCGGCTGGTGGCTCGCTTCCGGCGCGACTACGTCGACGTTGTTGCTGCTGCTGCTGCACGGAAGCCGATGCTCGCTCGCTGCTACTGCTGTCCTGGCGGATCGGCCGGTCGAGGGTATTGACGCGGTTGAGGCGTCGGGAGTGCGTCGATGACGATCCGTCGCAACTTGCTTGTCTGTATGTGGACAGAAATCAAATGCAAACGAAGATTAACATCGATACTTTTCCAGTTAAAATTTCAACACGTGCCTGCTACGAGCCGTATTTCCGAACCTCCCATCTTCCGGACACTCCACGAGGCTCGACCCCAGGCTCTGTATCTTATCGGCGTCTCGGAAGTAGTCGCGCTGCTGCCTTCGCCTCCGACGCTCCGTGTTGTTGCTCGGTACATCGGGCGGCGGTACGCCCGGCCTCTTCACTCTCGACGACGCGGTGGATCCGTTGCTCGTCGTGATTTTTCGCGCCGAGTTCACGCCGCCACCGTTGATCGGCGGCAGCCTCGTCGTCGTCGTCGTCGTCGCCCTCTTGTCTCCGCCGTTCGCCGCTCCTCCAGCCCGTGGTGCAGTCGTTGTTCTCGACTTTCCGTAAATCGTCGCGCCGTCGTAGATCGAGTTGTCGGTGCAGCACTCGAACTCGAACGAGCCGCTGCGCTCGTGATCGGGACTGGGCGCCGACGACGAGGCGCTGTTGCTCGATAATTTCGGCTGCGAGTGGCGCGGCGTTTGAGAGCTGCTGCTGGTCGTGGCCTCGTCGTGGCTGTAGAGCTTCTCGATCGCGGGCTGTTGCTGCAGCTGCTGGGTGTACGACTTGTTTTTGGCGTTTTTACGTCTCTCCGCGTTTCTCGCCTTTAGAGAGAAATGATACGAGCACAATAAAATCATTTATTATTATTTACAATTTATTAATCGACCTTGGGTTGAGATCCCGTCTGGCCGTAAAAGCAGTTACAAAGACTTATTGCAAAATAGAAACAAAAAGTATTGTACATACTGGAGAACTTATCAGTGATGCATGTAACCTCGCTTTTAGTTATACAATTATTTTTACTTTGCCACTTGCGGATTCACAGCTCAAGGTACTTCGCCATCTAGTGGCGGAGTCTGGAGTGAATTAGGATTGAATTCTTTTACATTTTATTGATCAATTGATCAATTTCTAGGTATTTCAAGGTATACAGATTACAGAAGTCAGTCCAAAAATCAAAATTTCAATTCGACCTTCATTTTCATGTTCCAAAGGTCACTATAGAACTTTTGGGAAAAATAGTCAATTTATTTTTGGACTGACTTTCAAAGAGAGTGTCCTCTTCATAATAATTCATGTGATCGGGCTTTTATTCCAGCTATTTCATGTGCAGTTGGAATAAAAAATATATCAGACATTACGAGTTACAGTAATTTTGACGTCTGCGTTAAATCCGCCTTAAATTAAAGGTTTTTCTTTCATCGGTTTACTCACCTCCAACTTGGTTGTATCCGAACTGGCCATGTTGTTGCTCGCGGCTCTTCTCCTGTCGATCGGCGCCGCATCGGCGTCCACCGTCTTCGATTCTCTCGGTGGCGAGCATATCCGTCGATTCTGCGCCTGCAGCACGTCCTCGGCTCTGATGCCGGTCTCGCGCTTCATCTTGCGTCTATTCAACGGCGCCTTGGTCAGGGACGTCGTCATCGTCGCCATCGTCGTTGTCATCGTCGTCGTCACCGCCGCCGTCGTCAGCACGTTCACGACGCTCGAGCTCGTCGTCGTCGTCGATCTGCTCTCGTCCTCGGTATTCGTGCTGCTCACCGAGTTCTTCTTTATCCTCGGAGGTCTGACCGGTTGCTGCAGCTGCTGCTGTTCTTGCTGCTGCTTTCGATGCCTGACGTTCGGACAGTAGTCGCCGGCGGCGCAGGACGACGAGCCGTGCGTCGGACTGGTGTCGTCCCTCGTCGTGCTCGACACGACCGAGGCCAGACTGGCGCAGCCCAGGCCGTTTCTCTGTCGGGGCCGTCGCGCGGTGGCGTCGAGATCGGCCAGCAGCGCGCGATAGAGCGTGGCCGCGGCGGCGATCGCGTCCTCGTCGCAGCGACAGGCGAAGGCGTGACACTCGAGCAGGCGCGCGGCGCCCGGGCGACGCATCACCACCGCGAATATCGGCGGATAGTCCTCCGGGTCGTTGGACAGGCCGCGCATCGTGCGATAAAGATCGGCGTGTCGATCGTCCAGTCCAGCGGAATTAGTGATGGTCGAGGCTGGATGGGAACCGGACGTGGTTCGATCGTCGGCCACCAGGGGCACGAATGCGTGTAGATAATCGTTGGCCTTCGAGTCGGAGCCGCGTCGGACCTTCGTGTGGAGCTTGAGCGCGCTCCAGACGGCGATGCGCCGAAACGGATTGCACTTCTCGTGAAGGTCGTCGGTGCGAAAGGTCAGGCCGCGTCGCGACACCTCGAGCACGGCGTTGACGGCGGCCTCGGTCATGCGCTCGATCAGCTGGCGCAGAGGCTCCTGGAGGCCGCGCACCGATGCGACTCGGCCTCCGACAGGCGCCGCGCCCAAGTACTGTACCTGTAGTAGAGCACAACATTTTTATGAAGATAGATTAATTTATTCTTCGTTTTTTCAAAATAAATATATTTACCGGAAGCACAGCCGCGGAGCACTCGCCGGTGGCGGAGTTCTCGGCCTCGACCGAGGCGAACATGGCCTCGATTCGTGCCTGCACGGCGCTGTTGACTCGCCGCTGCTGGTGATCGCTCTCGGCGCCGTCGTCGCCGTTGACTCCTCCCGCCGAGTCGCCAGTGGCGGGACAACAGTCGAAGCCATCGGCCGCGTCGCCGTGATCGTCGCCGCCGTTGCGTCTGGCCGCGTCAGCCGCGGGGCACCAGGGCGCGAAGGAGGTCGTGCTGCTGCACACGGAGCGCGTGTCCTCGAACAGGGCGTCGATCCTGGCCTTGCTGCGCACCGAGACCTCCGACGGCGCCGTCAGTCGGAAGCCCTCGTAGGAGCACATCGCGACGTTACTATGGTAATGCGATTATATGAATGGTCAAGCTCGGGCTGAAACGAGAGTTGGAAGCTTCGTTATTGATTTGGATGGATCTAAGGGAAAATTTATGATTTTTTTAATGAAAGATGTAGAAATAGAAACTATTTACGGTCAATTTTACTGAGTTCGATTAATTTAGCAATATATCGGAGCGTCGACCGAAGTAATTTTCGATTAATCTTGGCTATCGTAACGTGTTCATAAAAATTCAGCAATTAAAAGTCAGCGTCGATAAAATATTATAAAAAGCCAAGCCAGCTTGCGCTGGAATCACAATAGGCCTGTAGCCAGACAATCAAATCGCTTCAGTATGTCAAAGACACCATTATTGCTTCTACTCGCTCTAGCAGGTATTTTTATCGATATATTTTTTTGAATTATATTTGATAGCTATCGAGATGCAAAGTTATCCAAAATTTCGAATAAACTAATTAACCTTGTCCACTCGAATTAGGCTGCCTGCTGCAATCGAACGTTCAAGCTCAGCAGCAAAAGCCATTTTGCGATTGTTTAAATTTTGTACCGACGGGTAAAGCCGTATGCGCGACTTACAACATCAACTTTTTCGACGAAGCCGCCCTGCGATGCTTCAACCGATGCAACAATGCCGGTAAGCACATATAGACCGCGTACAATTCGTCTTTGGGAAAAAATCGAGTTTATACTCAATTTTTCTTCTGTTTCAATTTCGCAGACCTGAGAGTCTTACATTACGGACGATGCACCGGACCGAGGCAGCGACCCAACTCGGGTGGTCGCATGAGTGGATAGTTATACGTAAACAGTTCTTGGTATTATAAATCATAGCTCATGTAACATATGTTATCCGTTAAAACTAGCCGAGTTACTACATTGTAATCTCTAAAAATAAAGGTTTCGCACTTGAAAATCAAATGTGTATATAATAATATCGGCTGTGTGTACACGTAAAAAGGCGAGAAGGAGCGAATGAATTACGGTACATCGCTTGTGCGCTCGTAAAACGACTAAATTCCTCTCTCTCTTCTCGGAGTGCTGCTCTTATATAAAGACGTGTCCGCGTCGGTAGTTCGCCAACCTCCTCTCATACTCGCTCCTCTCCACGTCCAGAACTCAATCATAACAACAGCAGCAGCAGCAGCAACTGCTGCAACTGCTGCGCCGCGAGAACAAGTAGATCAATGAGAAAGGTCCGCTACGCTTCTCTCTCTCTCTCACACTTGCGGATTCTATTTATTTACTCTCCTCCAGCTCTCGTGGTCTCGCGCGGGTTTCGATCCGTACACACGCCGTAGGTGATGTTTTTTTCTTCTCCACAGCTACGATCGTTATAACCGATTAGCAATATCATCGCGGATAAATGGATACACATATATATTGTGCTCGCGATACCAGGTCAAGAGTATAAAAATCTCCGCGGGACGAGTTTGCCGTAGTGCACTCTCGGGTAATTTAACAGGACGAAAAGTAACAGAAAAAGATGGAAAAAACGTCGCGCGATATAATAACATTTTATTTCGGAATACACGTGTGTGTATTATATCGTTCGCATCTAAAACGTTATACGCGGTAAAAAATTTTATTGTACATATACGAACGCTCAGCCTGATTCGCGAGTTGGCGTTTTCAGCTTATGCGCAGTTAAAAATGGGTTCGATCGATATATCTGTATATATGTGCTTTTAAACGACGCCACGGAATCGATCGTTAAATTCGCGACGTTTAATATATACCAAAACAACCGGTCGAGCTGTGCACGCATAACTGCATCTCTCGCCTCGCTCATTGGAATACATACATTATAACATCTCTTTCGAAGCGCGCGCGACGATGATGTCTCATTTCCAGAAGTGAATAATTTAATGTGTAACCATTAAAAGCTCGCTAAACCGTTTTCCGATATTATAATTCATTTCGGCTCGACCGAGCGCTCGCGCGCGAGCGACGTAATTATAGAAAATCACGGCGCACTTCTGATTCCTCGCGGGTTCGTCGATCCTTAAACGATCGTCGAGTATAGCTTCCGTTATTATGTATAACAGCGTAGATCGATACGATGCATACATTTTGACGTAATCGCGCGATCGATCCGAAAAATCGCTTCTATTCCGCGGATGTACATCCTTAGTATACAAAATAAACTGCATCTTCGGTCGAGCGTACGACCTCTCTCTCCGGCTCTTATTCATTCGTGCCTAATACATTTATATTAGCCAGCAGCGCACGGCTCGTAAATTCATACGCGTTAAACACTATGCTATATACCATAGCCAGTAGAATTACAGCCACGGCGAATGGTGAACTTTTTCGCGCGTCCGCGGTGCATAAAAATCGTTACACACGCAGCCGAGCGAGCGTGTCGCGCGCGCACACATACGCACCATTCTTATATGTATGTATGTATGTTCGCGCGAGCCTCTTTTCTAAAAGATGCGCGGCCTTGATTTTGCCGAGGCGCGCGAGCACGCGGCAGCACAACACACAAGAGGAAAGTTGCGAGAGGCGGCTGCTCGCATGTGTGTGTATACGTGTGTGTGTGGCCACTTTTTCCCAATTAAAAAAAACGGCCAAGTACGAAGCGATCGCGTATTAATGCGCGCCTCCTCCCACTCGATATACCGCAGGAGTGCATCCATGGAAAAACTATTATTCGTTATAGATTTGCAGGCCTCTTGTTGTTTTTGCGTGCGCTCTCGATGCGTCGAAATTCCTGCGAGCATCGCATGTGTACACGCGAATTATTATATTCTGCACCGAGAACTGTGTACGAGGAGGTTCGAAAGTTAACATGAAAAAAAACCAACAACAACTTCGAACGAGGTATGAATCATTTGCAAAAAAAGTGACTAATTAAAAAAAAAGTGTCCAAAATTTATAGCCTGGAAACTATGGGCTCGTTAACTGCTTGAATGCTCCGAGCGCGCAAGCACGAGTGCGAAAAAGCACACACACGCACACACGGGCACGGACGAATGTGGCACACGTTGTGTCTTCTTGTCATACTTCGAGCTGTCGATATGTCACATGCTGGACAATGGTTGACATCTTAACGACGCGTAGGAAAAAAGTTTAAGTCTGCGTCTCATTAGGAGATGTGTTTAATCGAGACAATCGTATACATACGAGAACGTCCCAATACATCATTGGATGCTGCTACAGTATAGTAGTAGTAGTAGTAGTGCACTCACCTGTAGCAAATTCCATCGGCATGATCACGATCGTGAAAAATCGATCGTCGGGCATCGGTAATCGTTCGCGAATCGACGGAGCATTGTGTGCTGTGCTGCGATGCATCGGGAGGATTACACGGCGCTGCTGAGAGGCATCGATGCGCGCACATACATACACACACACACGGGCCAGGAACACACTATATTATACACGAGAGAAATTTCTCAATCGACTTTCTTGGTCGAGCATCCGGTGCTGCTGCTGCTGCTGCTGTTCAATATTTACTTTATTCTTTTAACGATAATTTTTCTTTTCTTTTTCTTCGGGCAATAGTGTCACTGGGTAAACGAGCTGTATTATCTGCCTCGAGGATATTTGCTAATTGTTTTTTTTCTCACTCGCGGCGATTTAAACGCTCGTAATCCTCTGCACGACGCACATCACTCCTAATTACGATGATCGATCACCTGCATAAACGACGCGTGTCTATGGTAAAATGGAAAATATAATCCTTGACACGAGCTGTCAAGATCCTCCCTGACAACTCGATCTCGCGCTCACTTTTAAACGTTTATATTTTACTCTCCGCGTTTCACAAAGTCGCGCACTCACTTGAGAAACGAGAGACAGAAAGAAAGAAAAGAAAAAAGGGTAACGAGAACTCGAACGAAAAAAAAGGGAAAAAAGTCTCGAGAGTCGAACGTCGCGAGGATGCGCGCGGGCGCGCGAAAAACGTCGACTATCGCGTTTGAAGCTTCGCGTACGTCTGCCGGCTTTTAATGCGCGCGAAGCGCAGCGCGCAACAAGAATACAATCGCGCGAGCGAGAGAGAAAGAGAGAGAGAGAGGCTCGTCACGAAGATCCCCGAGTATAAAGTATATAGTACACAACAGGCACATTGGAGTTGGTAGCAGGAGCAGCAGCAGAAGCAACAGCAGCAGCAGAGACTATGGAAAGAAAAGGCTTCCGTGCTTAACGGTATCGATCCTGCGAGCCGCGAATATACACACTGCGCTTCTTGCAAGGAGGTACTGTTACGCTGCTGCTGCTGCTGTATTATGTATACAGAGAGAGAGAGAGAGAGAGAGAGAGAGAAAATGGAGAGCTTCGAAGAGCAGAAGCGATGCAGTCTGTTTCCTCCGCGTTTTGCTCGAGACTCGAGCAGTATCGTACTCTCCTCTCCTCGGTCTGTACGTGTGAGTTTCTTACACCGATGATTAGATGCCGTGTATACGAAGGGGGATTATAATTGCGCGCCCGCGTACACCTCTTGTGTCTATATGTATTATACCGCGTGTACGTGGGTGGGACTGCAGCGTGCACAGACACAGACACGATTGGGGCTCGAGCCTCGACTCTGCACCGCGATGATATTATTATGCACGCGCGGTCGTTTCATCGCGGATGTAAATGCACATCACCGCAGCGGCAGTAGTATATATATGTAAGGTAATGCAGCAGCAGAAAAATGATGAGCGAGATTTAATCAGCTATGGATCGGACGCCGAACGCTCATTATTCAAATCGCGCTCCGTACGCTATACGCTTGGCTTTGTTGGGAAAAAAATTATTCTTACTTCTTCTTCTTGTTCTTTTTTCTTTTTTGTTATCAGCTCGAGAGAGAGAGAGAGAGATGCTTTCCTTCTGTAATTTTGTCAAATTACCACTCGAGGCCAATTTAGATCGATGATTAAAAAAAATTTCCCTTGTAATTGCGATATACTGATTTACTTTTAGATGTATACCGACCGAGTAGACTTTTGATAAATGCGGTGAATTATTTTTTTTTAATACTTGAAAATAAAATTGTTGCAATTATTAGAACATTTAAAAGTGAACAATTCTTGTTATATCAACAAATTTATCAGCTGATGAGGTTAACATTTCACTATATGTGTCATAAATATTGAAGTATTTGACTGTACACATGTACACACCAAACACGTGTTCGGTAGCAATTAGGTTAGAGAAATTTATTTTTGGATTGATTTATCGGGTTAGCGCGAACGCAGACCCGGCTAACAAAAATTATACGCCTGAGATATCCACATTAGGGATATTCACAGAGGTCAACCCAACCGTAGTGCAATGGATGGGCCTCGCCCTGGAGGAACCGCCTTCATGATCACGGTAGCCTCTGCGCCAGGTAAGTATGCTTTGGCCAGCTCACGAGCCCCTACTTCACTAGGGAACTCGACTTAATCTCTTGCGGGTTTCCAAAATCCTATCCCCGCGGCGTTGATCTATTTCGAGACTCGCCCTCTGGATGCGACGCCAAAAACTAGACGGCGAATTTCGAAAATCCCCTCTACCTCTGCTTACTTTCGGGAGAGCGTAAGGCGCTACGATCTAATATTAGCCTAGAATCAAAAAAATGTGTATGTTGCACGTAAACAGTTGCAGCCGATTTATCAAGCTGCAACTATTCGCGCGAAAATTACCCGCCAAATGTTCTCGATTCCATTGCCGATATTGTGTTTCGAGAAGATCGTGTTACAATCTTAAATCCTATACCACAATATATAACGCGCAGCTTTCCTGTCTATACATTGCGTGTATATAGTAGTACACGCGTTTAGAAGCAAATAGTGTGGAGCGTTCGTGTAAAACATCAATCGCGTAGAAAAGCCATCCGTGAGAGATCTCGCACGGAATTAGTCGGGAATTTACCGGTGTATCATTGCGTGTGCCCGTGTATATGGCGCGCTGTAAAAGCATACCTTCTTTCGGGTAATTTTCACTTTTTAGGAAAGTATACCAGTCCGATACGATATTTACACGTACATATGCGCGAGGAGCTCGTGTGCGCTGCGAGCGCGAGTATGCGGGCAGAAAATTTCTATCGCGCGCACGCATGCAAATCCTCACGAGCCGGTTTTCCTCGATACGCGCGCGGAGAGTCTCGTGATCGGTGCTGGTAGATTGTGTGCACAGAAACGCAAGGGATATAAAGTACGTTTAATTTACGACGAGTTTGCCGTCAAAATCATGCGCCGCGAGTATATTTTTCGATTATATAAATTAAAGATATTATGTGTGTTTGTGCGAAATTTTGAGGGCAAACGATTTATCCGATTAATACGAGCGTGTGTCTAATGCACGAAACGTGCTCACACGAGGTTATACAAAGTATATAAATGTGATAAAATTAGTCGAAGGATTAGTAGAAAATATGACAAGTTTTCTAAGCACATCTCTCTTCCTAGTTGCTCGGATATCTTCCTAATTATCCTGGCTTATCCCAGTGAACGTTGCGTTTGTGAATAAATTCAGCAAGTTTTCTCATGAATTACTCGGAACAATCGCTGCTTAGCTTCGTTGTTAATTAATAAGTCATTAGTTTTGCTCGTAAAATTAAAGATAAACATGCGGGTAAATGCGCATATGTTCTCAAAGAGTTTAATTATTCGCAAGTGCCGAGGCAACAACGCTTTTCGCGGAAAATGGAATGAAATTGCTTGAAGTAACGAGCGAGAGCTATCGGCGAATATCTTCGATGTTACGCCAAGTCTAATGCCGATACCCTGAATTGAAAAAAATGAAAACAATTTTGTTTTCGATATATGTGGAGGAAAAAGAGAAAATCAAGTCATTTATTGATGAAGAGAATATGCATTTCTACGAGAAAATGAAAACAACTCGTTGCGAGCATACGAACATTTTTTTTATCAAGATATTCGCCTGATGTTAGAAAATTTACATGTAATTTAAACATGATTTTTAACAACGTTCTTATCTAAATGAATACATAAGTTATTATTTTTTAATTAAATACATAAAGGATCGTTACAATCAGTTACAACCACAAAAAATATCCAGTCTTTCAAAACACACAGGTGTATTCTACACTATAAACTTCAAAGAATCTTTTGCTGTTCTATCAAAATGTTTGAATTATGTAGCTAATGCTAGCATAGCCCATTTCATATTAATGTTAGAGCATTATTTTAAAAAAATTTCCAGATGTTACAATTCTACATTTCATGAGTGATAGTCCATCAACTCAGTATTGCAATAAGAACATATTCTATTTGCTCACACTACATCTCACACTTGAATGTCCTGAACTCAATTTCATTACTTACATCTATACTGAAGCAATGCATGGCAAAGAACCAGCAGATGGAGTTGAAGCACGTCTCAAGCGTCTTGCTGATAAATTTGGTGATGATTGATCGATCTCGTTATAAGTTCACCTTATAAGCGGTTCAAGAAAACGCGGTTGAAAACTCTAGTTAGTTATAAAAAAGTCATGAATTTAGCTGACAAAATGATTGAAATAATTAATTAAAATTTTTAATTTATCCAAAGAAGGAGCTGTATGTTGCCTCTCCGGCAAGGCGCTTTTATTTGAGGTCAACGAGACAACTATTTGAACTGACAAAACTGATTATGTAACTAAGTATTCGCTGTATTTTAATTTAAATTTTTATGTGTTTAACAATAAAAAAATCGAAATTCATTTTTTTAATTTATTTATTCATGATTGATTAGGAAAATATGCGATGCTTTTCATCATCACGTGCTTTGGCCTGTTGCCGCCAAGCAAATATTATAAAAATCTTTATTCATGAGCGATTTTTCGAGGATCATTTCGCAGTTCTCCTGCGGCAATCGCCAGTGTATCAGCTGCGTGAAAGGTTCCAGGGCCCAAGCACGGAAAAATCCTCTCGCTACTTTCTCGGCCAGATGTGCAGAGCAAGCCTTCCTAGACCTGAGAGGTAGTCGATGCATTTCGATCGAGTAGTAGTCCTCAAACGTGAGGGCGTGTTTGTCCGCCTCTTCGGGTCGCAACCGTATAAGATCGTAGAGTGACAGACTAGGAACGATCATTATCTTTTTTGCTGCACTCGTAAACCTCTCGCCAACGTACCAACGTTTTTCCATTTCTTCCAATTGCTCGAACATTCCGTACTTTTTGAATAATTTCATAATTTCTAGGGCGTCGTCTCGGTTCCATTCGTATCCTGCATTTTGGAGGCGCTCGACGATCATTAGAGCACCGGACGCTAATTTTAATTTCCAATCCACTTGAATTTTACTACAAGCACTTCGCCCTTTAAATTTTCTGTCGAAGCGACTCCCAGTAGGAAAAACGAAACCAGATAGTTCGGCACCATGAGCCAAGAGCACATCAACGGCACTTGGCGAAAATTGAGCCACAGCCCATTGCATCGGTGTCCGGCCCAACATATCTCGGACGTTGACCTGGACCGTTCGATTTATTTGTTTGCAAATCTCGAAGAAAAATTCCGCCATTCCGTCATCGTACTTTTTCTGGCAAATAATATGCAGAGGCGTGACTCCTTCTGAATCGGCCGAATTAGGATCGGCGCCTTTTGCCAGCAGCATCGTTACATAGTTTCTGCGGTCCGTACACACAGCATAGTGAAGCGGTGTCCGGCCCAACTTGTCCTGGGCGTTTACCTGCACTTTCTGCTGTTTTTTGCTACTAATCTGAAGGATGTAATGTGCCACGAGGGAGTCGCAAGTAATATGAAGAGGTGTCAATCCCTCTGTGTCTGCCAAAGTCGCATCGGCACCTTTTTCCAGCAACCATTTTACGATTTGTTCATTCCTCTTGACCACGGCATAGTGAAGTGGTGTCTGGCCCTTCTTGTCCCGGGCATCAATTTGCACCGGCTGACCTTTTGCCCGGCTGATATCAAAAAATTTATTGGTAAAGGACTCGTAGTTTTTACTGCCCCAATTTTGTTTGATGATAATATGCAAGGAAGTCAATCCTTCGAAGTCAGCCGAATTTGGATTAGCCCCGTTTTCCACAAGGATTTCGAAGAATTCAGCCTGTTGCTGCTCCAGAGCATAGTGAAGCGGCGTTTTACCCAATTTGTCCTGGGCGTTGATTTGCTCCGGCGAACTTATCTTCTTGAAGATCGCAAGTAACATATTCTTGAAGGTTCTAGAGTATTGTCGACGCGGTGTCTTGAAAATAATATGCAAAGGTGTTAATCCCTCGTAGTCGGATAAATGTGAATCTGCCTCATTTTTCAATAAGATTTCGAACAATTTTTCATCTAGTTGCTCTACAGCATAATGCAGCGGTGTTTTACCGAACTCGTCGCGAGCATTGACTTGCACGGGCCGATATTTGTCGTGAGTGAGCTCGAGCAACGTCTTCAACATGGCGAGGTCAAAGGGGCCTTTCGCCCGTTGGCATATGATGTGCAGAGCCGTCATTCCCGTCGCGTTGGCAAAATTTGGATCGGCGCCGGCTCTCACCAGCGCTTGTGCCGCTTCGACGTGACGTCCGTACAGGGCCAAATGTAGCGGAGAATCACCCTTTCCCACGAGGAGGCAATTTGGATCCTCGCCGAGCTCGAGATATTTCTCTACCACGTCGGCGCAGCCGTAATGGCAGGCCACATGGAAATGCGTCAATCCGAATTCATCGACGTAATTCACGTCGCATCTGTCGTAAATTTGAATAAGTTTCAAGATCATGATGGAGTTGTATTCTCGAAAGAGCTCGCAATCAATTACGATTTCGTTGCGTCTAGCCGCCAGATGCAGCGCTGTGGTGCGGCGCGACGATGACTCGCCCTCCTCGAGCCTGTCTTTGTAGCCGCTGTCAGCGACGAAACGAATGAATGAAAAACGAATGAAAAACTTTTCTTCCTTTGGCTCGTAACTTATCGAATCCACGAGAAGACGCTCGATTTCTTCGGAGCGAAAGACGTCTAGGAGGTCGGGCAGTGGGCCCTTCCATGTCGAGATCAGATCGTCCAATTTATCGAGTAACTCAACACGCTGTTTTTCAATCTCCCAATTGACACTTTCTTTCAAGTTCTTCATTATCAGTAGTTGACTATCCATGACTTCGGAATGATGGCACAAGCACGCACACGCTCGAATATTTAATACTCTTTTCACGATAATGACTCTCTGCGATTGATGCAATATTTTCTCGAAGTTCACACTGCGACTTTGCAACGTAAATTCACTACTCTAAGTACACTTTGATCTCTATTTGAAAAATGTTAAAAGAACACGTGGTTGACCAGTTAACCTCACTGACTATACGATTAGCTGTTCGATGCTCGACCCACCAATACCCGTGTACAACTGAAACTCAAAGCTATAGCAGCACGCATAGAACCAATGCTCAGCTGACTTTGTGGCATTAGAACATGTGGGTACTCGAAATAGGAAAAGAATGGGAGAGAGAGAGAGAGAGAGAGAGATACAGACTTTCACTTTTTGGAATATCAACGTCGTACGTAAACGCAATATTAAGAGAGAGCTCATTCTTCTTAGCTCAGTTGTCGTAGCTTCTTCTTCTTACTGCATCTTCCGGTCATATTCTTCCGGCCATCTCTTCAGTCTTCGGTCCTATCATACGACTGAGTGGGCGAAAGTGGCAACCGTGCGCCTATTCGAGACTCGCTCACAAGCACGAGTCCGACTGTGTGACCGGGCATATGGCGCTGTACGGTTGAGGTTGTAGGCGCCGGCTCAGATTTCTGAAGTAGCCGTGCCCGGTTGTTACGGTGATATGAACCGATACGAAACTCGAAAATGTTTTCTCTTTTTTATTGCATTGAAAAACAAAACCTCGAATTTTTCAATTTGACGGACGATACAGAACCTTGAAAAATATGCAAATAACTTTTGCTCATTCTTTCCATCGGAATTCGCATAACTTTGAATTTTTCTCATCTTTTCGCGGTGGGCTGGAAAACGCTGTTTTTAACAAAAATAAGTTCTTGAAGCCGATCGGATACTTTTTGAATTCCTCGTACCTTCAATTTTTTCGCTTGGAACCTCGTAGTTAAATTTTGAGCATCGATAGATTATTACGGATTTCTGAAGACATTTCTGAAGACATTGGGGGATTTTAAAACTGGAACATATAAAACTCGAGACTTTATTACAGACCTGCGCGCGAATGCGAGAAAAAGTTTATCGTCCGCATCGCCGCGGGTATAGTATGCGCTTTTTCAAATTGCAGTGTAATTACAGAAGTATAACATAGTTGCTCCGGGATCAAATATTTTGGAATATATCGTTTATACGCGCGCGCGCGGTGTATACTTTGGCAATTAAAAATCGTAACAGCGATCGCTGTTGCGGTGCCCCCCCTTCGGGCGAACAAAGTCAAAACTGCACATTTCACTCGAATCGAGAGAGAGAGAGAGAGAGCAAGAGAGAAAATATGCGCACGCATACTTATCATTCGTAACGATTTAATTACGATACGCATAATTTAAATGCCAGCAGCGATTACCCCTCGGTGAAACTATAATACGTACGTATATGCATATGAATATCGATGCAAATCTGTGTACGGTTCACGTGCCACCGCGTGTATATAGGTATGCAGGCAGCACAGAACTATGTATGTGCAGTGTCATACATTTACGTTATGCAAACTCGAGTTCAGTGTCCTTTTAAAAGGCCCGGCGCGCGCATTACAATTAGCGCATTATTATCGAGCCGAGGCAGCAAAATCGCGTCCGCGCGAACGGAAAAACGGATTGCCCAAGTACGAGAGCGATGGTAAACATGACACACGCGTGTAAGTGCGGGGCAGGTGTTACGCGTTACCTACATCATCCTCGGCGGTGCAGTTTAAAACGTCGGAAAGCCCGCATCGAACACCTGCTCCGTGCCGTGCAGCACTTATTAGCCGCGGCTGCTACAAAGCGGTGCACCGTACTTCGGATGCGAACGCGAGTAAAGCTCGGAAACGTTGAGCCCGCGAATAATGAAATTAGATCGGTCGGGGTTCTGCGCGCGATCGACGGAAATACTCGAACAGTGGGCTGTGAAAATCAATTCGCGCTCGAAGCTTCGAGTAGACATTTGAATAAAGTATCATCGAGTCGAGTCCCCGAGCGCGATAAAGCGCCAAAGTATACGAGCCAGCCAGAGTTGCCCGCGGCTACTTACCAGATGTCCTTATGCTACGTTGCGAACTGCACGAACTGCAAGCGCTCGGACATTTAAACTAAAGATGGATGCGCGGTACCGGCTATAACTATACTATATTGTAATGAAGTAACGGCTACGCTATGCGCGCTGCCACGCAACGGTGCAATTCATCAATTTGCCTTGCGAGAGCACCGTTTCGAGATTCTTTCTTTCTCTCCTTTTTTTTGCGAGAGCTGACGTCGAATGGACAGATCTTCCGACTAACCCATTACGCGCGCGCGGCTGGAAAAAAATATCGTTCCCTTTGTATTCCCAGAGATGTCCGCGCGAAGTCGCGAAAATAAATAAATAATTCTTGCCTGCGTTACGCGTGCATATTTTATTTACTTCGACTGGCAAAATGTTTCTTTTGAAAAACGATGGCCAATACATCTTGTACGCTTCCTCTATGTTTAATTATTTAGGTTCGACAGATGTACAACAAACAAGCTTGCACTGTGGCAGTTTGTAAGTCTAAAAATATTAGACTCCAAGGACGATAAAAAAAAAAAAAAAAATAGGATAGAGCAATTTCACGGCAATCCCCCAGCGGATGAGATTATTAGCGTATTGCTAAGTCAAATGTCCCCTTAAATTGTTTTTTCTCAATATTGTTATATTTTATTATTGTTGCTAAATATTTAATTTGTTATTGTTATTATATGATATTATTTAAAAAAAAGTTTATTGTAGTTTGATCATGGTCTAGCACAAGTATAATCACTTGCTTCATGACATCATGGGTTGAGTTTATGATGTTATACATCAAGCCTCTCTGTTGTCGGATGTTTTTACGATATACTTACATCATGAGTCGAATGTCCCCCGCAATATTATAACAACCGAAATGCTTTCATAGGCTAGCGCGATGTACCTCGAGGTAGCTTGTTGAGGTGTGCAATGATGCGAGAGCGGAAATAATATGAGTTGTCTATAATTTCCATTATAATTATATGTTAAATGAAATTGTGTGGATATTTTTTTATTAAACTGTAGATATCTTTATTGCAAATTTCATAAATTAAACTATTTGTATCTGTATACAGAAGTGTACAATCTTTTTCACCAATTTTGATACATCTGACTACTGCGAAAATAACATTTTCGATATTACACCATCCAACGATAATAAAAAAAAAGATTGGTGTTATGAAAGACGAATCGGTATCGTGCAAATCTCCGCTGTACGAGTTCGTCGGGCTTCGTGCTAAGGCCCATTATTGTTGCTATGAGGATGAAGATCACTCGATTAAAAAAGCAAAGGGCGCAAAAAAATCTGTTGTTCAAAAAACAATAACTGCTGATGATTATCGATGAATAATACATTAATCAAACGAGAGCAATTAAATATTCGGAGTCGAGCTAACAATTTACAAACAGAAAAAATGACAAAAATTGCTCTGAGCCCTAACGATGATAAGCGTTATATACTACAAGATGGAATTAGAACAAGGCCTTATGTTTACTATTTATACTTTTCTTTCGAGTAATAATAATTTTTCAAAAATACTTATAAAACGCATATTTCTATTTACAGGTGGATTTAGCTACATTCAATACTATAGGTAGAAATAGATTCCCGCCTTCCGTCAAGGCAGCTGAATTGGAATGCAACGTCGACCATTTGATAACGAGCCTACGAATTGTACACACACGATACGGGGATAAAGTGATCGCAGACTTAGAGTATGCCGATATTGGAAAAAAAACAATGTTGCTTAAGGAAGTCTGTACCCCACATTTTTTACCGACGCAGTCGAAAAATTTGTTTAATTTATAGTTGGATTTATACTTGGAGTACAGTTGATGATGAATCAAATGTTGGTGATGCATCAAGACTTCTTTCCAGCATTTCTCCTGCCGAAATGGACAGATGGACCTGGGGAAAGATGAAAAAAAAAATCATTTTTAATACAAGTCCTCTCTTTTATACTGATTGACGAAAAATAACGTGTAGCGTGTATGGACGACGTGTAGGAACTTCATGTAACGCGTAAAATGTATTTTACAACATAAAAAAAAAATGTGAACTTACTAGGGGAGGTTTGCATCGACGACACCCACCGCGCAGTCTTCGACATAGTTTCCTTTTCGCCGGGTCGCCGTGCTCCCCGTCACCTTTTTTTTTCACAGCGATCCTCGTCGCCTTCATCAGCATCTGAAACACAGTAGAAAACATTTCAATTTCGAAATACACACTATAGAAATTTATTAATTTAACGTTAAGCAACATTGTTTTTTTACCAATATCGGCGTACTCCAAGTCTGCGATCACTTTATCCCCGTATCGTGTGTGTACAATTCGTAGGCTCGTTATCAATGGTCGACGTTGCATTCCAACTCAGCGGGCTTGACGGACAGTGGAAATTCATTTCTACCCATAGTATTGAATGTAGCTAAATCCACCTGTAAATAGAAATATGCGTTTTATAAGTATTTTTTAATAGTTATTTATGTAACAAGTGCCCAAAAGGCGTTTTTGGGCACGAGTGTGCGGAAAAAGACACGAGTGCCGGCTATGCCGGCACGAGTGGGTGTTTTTTCCGCACACTGTGCGCAAAAAGCTGGGCACGTGTTGCATACAAAATTTTATGCAATAGTAGGCGAAAAATACGTTCATTTAAACAAGGCGTTTTCCCGCACACCCGTGTCCAAAATGAGGCATTTTACCGCACACCAGTGTCTAAACGAGGCATTTTACCGCACACAAGTGTCCAAAAACGCTTTTTGCACACTAAAAAATGTGCGAAAAAAGACATTTTTCGTCATACTATTGCATAAAAATTATTATTACTTGAAAAAAAAAGTATAATTTCCACTACATACTTCTAATCCGTGTTGGTGCTGGTGGTGACGACATGTGGTTGCAGACGAGAAGGATCGACTAACTGTTGTATATTTAC